CCTCCGCGCCGCTGCCGGGAGCCGCCCCCGCCGCCGCCGCCTCCGCCAGGCCTGTCGCCGTGATCGGCAGCAGCCATTCTGTAGCGCGTGTTGATGACTGTCGCGTGAATTTTGACTTCCTCCCTCTCGCCCTGTCCGCATGAGGGGCCGTGAGGGGTGTGCACTGCGTTCCGTGGTGACACGAGACTACAGATAGGCAGTGTGGCAATATATGTGTGTGTATGTGTCGTATATATATGTATGTACATATTAAAGACATCCATACATATACGGGTATGTACATATACATAGACACATGTTTGTGCGTACATACATGTGCATCCGTGCAGGGCGCGAAGCTTGCGGCCTGCCGAGAGTCCAACACGTCGCCGCCATCCCGCTAGATGGGCTGTCCCAAGCCCTCGCTCTCGCCCTGCCCACGCGCACGCGCACTCGCCAGCCCCCGCCGCGCCCCCGACGCGCCCCTGAGGCGCGGCAGGCGCGCACCCTGAGTAGCAGGCCCGCGTCCTTGAAGGCCGCCACCACAAGAGAGCACAGCTCCCCCAGCCGGTTGCCGCCGCCCGCCTCCTCCACCTGGCGGCGGCGCGGTGCGTGGCGCCGGCGGGCAGGCGGGCAGGAGGGCATGCGCTTGATCCCGCAGTGAGGGGCACAGTCCATGAGGCGTGTGTGTGTTGAGGGTGAAGGCGCCACGCACACAGGTGAGAGGCTCTTTGGCGCGGCCGGGCCCGCCATAGTGAGCGCTGCAATGAGATGACACCGCAAAGCGCGTCAAGAAACACACATGGAATTGCACACGCCCACACGCACGCATGCACGCACAAACGCATGCACAAACGCGCACGCGCACGTGCACGCGCACGCACATGCACACGGGCACACACACACACACACACACACACACACACGCACATACACACACATACACATACAATCCACCAAAAGAAGCAGCGTATGCACGTGTCAAAGATACGCACCTCGCAGTATGCGACGTGCGCCGCGGCGGCGTCGCTCCCCATGATCGCGAGCCCCCTCAGCCGCACCCGCAGCGGCTCGCCCCCGGCCAGCGCCGCCCGCGCCCGCGCCGCGGCCTCCCGCAGCGCCGCCTCCGCCAAGGCGCGCCGGGGGTCCGAGTACAGCTTCAGCATCACCACCGTCAGGTGCAAAAGCCCGGGGGCTACGAATATGGATTCATCCACTAGGCCCCACGCTGCTGCTCGGGGGTCGGCCCTTACACGGGCCCCCCAATTGCGGAGCGCGGCGGTTATCGGCGCAGCGGCCAGCGGTATGCACACGAAGGCATCGTAGTCGAGCAGTCGCTTCGGGGAGTTGACCGCGTGGTCAAACGTTGACTCTATCAGCCGCAGCACCGCGTCAACGGCGCCCTGGCTGGGGCCCCTGATGACCACGGCATCGCTGGTGGGCGGCGACGATGGGGACGGCCGCGTCGGCGCGTCCGGCGCGGCCGCGCGGCGCGGGACGTCAATCAAGGCGCCCGTCTCGCACTCAATTTCGCGGCGCCGCGCGCCCTGGCGGCCAATGAGGAAGGGCAGGACGGCGGCGTCGAGTAGGACGCGCCCGGAAAAGGCATTGGCCGGGCGGGCGGCGCCCAAGTCATCGGTTGTTCGATGTCGCTGCTGCTGCTGCTGCTGCTGCTGCTGCTGCTGCTGCTGCTGCGGTGGCGGCGGCGGCGGCCGCGGCGGCGGCTGCTGCTGCTGCTGGGGTGGTGGGAAAGGCTGGTGAGCGCGTGATGGCGAGGGGTGGGGCGCTGCCTGGGCCGCGGACGTCACCACCGCTGTTGCTGCTGCTGCTGCTGCTGTAGGCTGCGCGCTGCCTGCGCCGCCGCCGCGCACATCTCCAGTGTAATATGTGCGATACGTGGCACCGCCCACTTGGATCAGCTTCACGTCCCGCAGCACGTCCATCCAGCCCAGACTCTGGGCGATCGAGGGTCGTCCCGCTGAATGTGCAATGTCATACCGTAATCAACTCCTGAGTGTTGTTATCATAAGGTTGACATGCGACTGGATTGGATCGCACGCTCGGACGCCATGTACACTTGTATTGCTGGGTGACTCAGCTTGTGACACGGAGAGTCCAGCAGGGCCTTTACAGTTTGGTCAAGGTGCCGTATTGAAAGTCTTCGATGCTCTCCATTGGTGGCTGGCATGGGATTCTGAGTACGTGTGTGCAAAAGCAGGGTCAAACCCTGACATGCAGGAACACCGAAATCGTTGGGAGGATGACATACATTGCTTGAAGAAGTGTGCAGAGGGTTGCCGGAAGGAGTACACGGGCGTTGACCAACGCAGCCGCATGTGCCGGACGCGCGCCGAAGTCTGGTCAAAGCTACCGTGCGATTACGCACTCGACGCTAAAGCCGTTGCGAGGCCTGATTTTGCCCCGCCATTTCCTGAGCACTGACTTGTGCGGCAGTGTGTCAGTCGTTTAAGGTGCCCCTAAACCTGGTCGTACTACAAGCCCAACCAGTATCGCCGCCAACCCCCACTCCCCCTGCCCCAACATAAAGAACCCCCCCGTGACCGCCACCATCATCCCCACCCCGCACCAGCGTGGCTCGCCGCCCGCCCGCCCGGGCGCACGCGCCTACGCGTGCGCGCCCTGCCCTCACTGCGCGCGCTCGCCAGTGGACAGCGGCACGTACAGCGCGGACGTTGGGAGCATCTTGAAAAGCCCGTCCTGGTTGCGCGCCGCCTCGATCGCCACCGTGCCCAGGGAGTACGAGCGGGGGAACGTGAGGTGCTTGGGCAGCGCGTGCGGCGAGTCCTTGCAGAGCAGCCAGACGCGCACCAGGTGGCGCGGGAGCTCGCCGTCCACAAAGGTGCTGCGGCTGCGGCGGCGGGATGGGAAATTCGGTGCCGGCGCACGCGGGACGGGTAAGGGCGGGGATCTTGGGGCAAAGCTGGAAAGTCATCCACGATCGGCGCGCGCGCTGGACTCGTGGAGACAGCAAGGTGGCGCGACGCCAGTGTGCGTGCGGCATGCATGCAGGGCGCGCGCCGAGCGAGGTTGCCGCTGCCGCGCACCTGTGCATGACGTTGATGTTGTTGATCATGGCCACATCGCCGCGCTGCAGGCGGATGCCGAGCTTCAGGGCGTCGCTGTTTGCGATCTCATTGAAAACCTCCATTGCCTCCTTCTGCAGGGGAGACAGCTTGCCCGCCAGCTCGGGGTAGCGCTCCTGCGTGCGACACACGGTGGCGGCAGAGGCGGCAGTTGGCTAGAGTGGCATGGTCCGTCGGCTGCGCTGCACAGCTGCAAATTGCTTGAGACAAATCAGCACGTGGCGGCTCGCCGCGCTTGGGGGAGGCGCGGGCCGAGCGGCCGGGGAAAGGACCGGCAGAGGGGGAGCGGGACGAGGAGCTGCTGCACCGCCCAGTGTGTGGGCGGCTGAGGCTGGAGCAGTGGGGCTCACCTCGCACTGCTTGTTGAGGTTGGCGTTGTAGCTGGTAGTGAGGTAGCCATTGGCCCACGACCATACGGGCATCTCCCTGCGGGCGGGCGGTCGCGGCGGGAGGGGTTGCGTCGATGGTGCGAGGCGGCGGCGGGGCGCGCACCGGGCGTGTGAGAGGGGGTTTGGACGGGGCAGTGGGGCGCGCACAGGAGCAGATGAGATACCCAGGCAGCTGCCGGCCGGCATCATCAAGGCCGCCGGCAACGAAGCCGCGCGTCGGGCAGGCTGGCGGTCGACCGCACCGCCGAGCGAAGCGCGCGGGCGCCATTGCATGGCAATCGGGGCAGGGCCAGCGTCGGTGGGAGGCGGCTGCGCCGGGGGCCGCTGCCCTGGGATGCGGGGCTCTCACCAGAGGGGCGAGGTGCCGGGCAGGATCTCCTGGTGGAAGCGGCTCTTATCCCGGTAGAAGCCTGGGGAGGGGGTGGGATTGGGTGGCGCCGCGGTCAATGGTCTGGGGGGTATGGAATCCGAGCAGGCGGCACCTGCATGAGGGGATGTCTGGTTGGCGCAGTGGGCGCCAGGCGCCAGCTTTGAGGTGGCGGCATGTCAGGTAGGGCGTGCATACCGGCGTGCATGCGTGTGTGCGTGTGCGGTCATCCTCAGGGCTCGTTCGAGCATGGGGCTTGCATGCCGTGCGCGAGCGCGCCGGATGGCGATGGTGTTGGGTGCGGTGAGCTGTGTATGCTGACCTGCACCCGCGAGGACGGCGACGAGGTCGAGGCGGCCGCGGCGCAGCATCTCGTTGTAGACGGCCAGCGCGGAGCAGAAGGCGCTCTCCCCGCCCTCCTTGGCCTGGCGGATGCACAGCAGGCCCAGCACGTCCGCGCAGGAATCGTTGTGCCTTTGAGGTGGTGGTGGATTGGGTGATCGTGGCGCACGGGCGGCGGGGAGAGAGCAGAGTATGAGGGCAGGGGCAGCGGGCAGGCACGCGCTGCGGCCAGACGGCGCGGCTCGTCGTGTTGGCGAGGGCAGTTGTCGGGGCTCGGGAGCCTGAAAAGAAAATGCGAGGCGGTCAGCTGCGCGTGCACCCGTGCGTGTGGGGGCGAGTGAGGAAGCTGGGTCAAGCAGCGAGCCGTAGAATTGCAGGCTGCCGGGGCCGGGCGGGCGAGCGGGGCGGCGGGGTGAGGGGCCCTGAACCACTGAATCCCAAACCCGAGCCTCGGGCGGCTCACATCTCGAACGCGTCGTTGCGGTTGAACGCCTCAGGGCCGTGCTTCGACGCCTCGAGGTTCTGTTTTACGGTGGCCCCCTTGTTGGTGACGTGGGTGACTAGCCGCCCGCAGCTCCACTGCGGCCCGGGCTGGCCGACGTGCGCGGAGACACCCAGGTAGGCCGCCAGCACCTGGGAGGGGGCGCAGATTGGGCGTGGCAGGCGGAGGGGGCGCGAGCGCAGGTCAGCAGGTTAGCGGATGATTACAGACACCACGACCCCCTGCGGCGGCCGCACAGGTGAGGGCGGGCTGCAGCAGCAGTACTGCGACCACCAGGCTGTCCCCGCCGGACTGTCCCCACCGGACTTCCCAACCGCCCTCATCCAGCTGTGCCCACAAGCCCCCCCCTCCTCACC